CTCCTTATGTAGCCGAATCTGTGCTGGTTTGAATGGGCCGACTCTCATTTTACAGGAGCTGTAAAAATATATTGAGATGGTTTATGGTACTTATACCGCAAATATATATTCTTAAGGACATCAAAACCTAGAATAAAACTCCAGAAAGGTATACAATACGGGACCTTTAAGACACAGAATAGCTTATATTAAGACAGTGTTTGCGCGCCGTCTGAAACGCGTCTCTCTGTGTGTGTGTGTGCTTTGCACGTCTGCAGCAGAACTGAAGATACGCTGCGCGAGATGCGGCTTGTGCACGCGCTTCAGGTGTGAGTCCGACAGCAATATGAGACAGCAAAGAGTTGTTTTCTGCAGCTTATTGCACTTAACTCTTTTTAACGTCAAGCAATTATCTGCTATATGCGTCGAACTAAACCTTTGACCTTTTGCAACGTTTTGATTTAAGTAGCCTATTATTAAATTTATTCAGATATCGCACACCCTTACGATATGCATATTGTGATATTTACATTTGCAATATTTCGATATATCGTGCAGCCATACTATTTATGTGATCCGCTTGAGCGCGGAATAGGCTATAGCCTATAAAACGGTCGTTTAGTAGGCTATAGTTTTAAGTTAATTTAATAGTTTAATTAAATATAAACGTGTGATTACTAATGGTTTAAATGGGTGACTATAATAGCCCTTCTAATAATAATAATAATACAAGGAATGAACAACTGACAACGTGCCATTGAATTACAGGGGGGAAAAAACAAGGTACCATCACAAAGTTCTTGTTTTGCAAAATTAATATAAGCTATTTTGTGTCTTAAGACAAGTTAAGTTAGAACAAGTTCAATAAAACATCTTTATTTTATTTCTACGGTAAAGGAGAATAGCCAAACCAAAAACACAATGTAACATTCATAAAACCGTACTCAATGGAATGCGCACATGTAACTGGGGCTAGTGCCATCTAGTGGTCGCTGATTTTCTTTGATGGATCTGCACGTGGATCGCGAGCTGTGTGTGTGTGGATTGGGCAAGGCTAAAAGGGCGGAACGAAAGTCTCAAAATTAAAATGAATCAAATAGAATCGACTCAGAAGAGACGTGAATGAATGCACGCATGTCACCTGATCCACAAATGCACATTTTAATCGCTACATGCACAAATCATTATACTTTAATACAAACTATAACATTTGTATTCACAAATATGTCTCTATTTGAACAAAATGCTGCACATTAATGTAATTCTTAACTCTGCAGACACCGGTTGAAAAGCATTTGTTTCAGTGTAGTGCCGCACATTTGTGAATTTTTCAAATCGTGTACACGTTAATGAATTGCACTGGGCCTTGTTCGTTGGTAGTTGTGTGTGTGGGGGACGTGAAATGCTGTAAACTGCGAAAAAGTCTCAAAACCCAAATGAACTGAACAGGATCGACTCGAACTAGACGTCAATTAATGCACGCGTGTCACCTGATCCACATATGCACGGATTCTTTTTTGCATGAGCAATTTATGATATATTAATGCAGAACAGAACATTTTTATTCGCAAACATGTCTGTATTTGTACAAATCGCTGCACAATCATTTAATCCTGAATTCCACAGACTCAAATTGAAAGGCATTCGTTTGTGGTTAGTAAGATACATGTATAAAATTTGTGCAGTACAATTGTGCGTGCATCTATTAATCATTTTGAGTCTAATATCATCCCATATCTAACCTCTGCAAGCCAAAGTCCTTGGTCTGTTGTAAACAATTAGATGTGCATACCTACATTACTGGAATGTTGTGATGTATTACAAGCTGTAGTCAGACTTTTATTCTACATCAAGACATGCCGATCATTAAATTGCCTTAGAGCACACTTTGGAATGCATTAGAAGTGATCAAATTTGGCCTCGCTGTGTACTTTGTCATTTAAATTATTTTTTATAAAATAAGTGTGCAACTTTAAAATAATGCAAGTATCATCACAAGCAGCTCTTATGTCACTCTCTAGAACCAAGAAAACATATCAAGTGTCACTACAGCACATATCTTTACAGTTATTCATTGTTATGGAAGATTAGTTAGCAGTAAACACTTGTAGTAATGTACTTGTTCAATATAAAAAAAATGCCCACAATAAACCTAAATCAACATTTAATCCATAATATAATGCAGCAATGACAGGTGTGGCTACCAGGAAATAATTGCTACACGTCATTCAAGTTAGTGCATGCATTTCACCTTGTCTACAATATAACTAATTTACTTGTTGCTTCATTAAATTATGGTCTGCGCATATGAAGCATGTCATTTCAAAAAGTAACTGTCTGAAAACAAGAGGACTCGCACATAATTGAAGCATTAAAGTACTTGGATGGACATTGAAACCTACAGTCATGTGATCCTAAACGTTAAAGAAATGCAGACTGTGTCTTCTATTTCAAGGATGACAGCAAATGAAATCTAGTAATCCAAATTGAATTGCAGAAGTACAGTTTATCATGTGTCGTAGGCACACGTACAAGAAGAAATCTGATGATATGAGGTCTAAAGTATATAATAATATAATGATATTTAAGAAATATAATATTAATTTAAACATTCTGCATTGTGATCATACAAAAACATTTTTTTTATTATAAGGCAGTAAATGGAATCATTTGGAAATGCCAAAAATCATAATAACAATAAAAAATAAAATAAGTGTATGGTTAATATACGCAAAGAGAAACCTCTTAACTCATCGAAAAACTACATTAGGGCTCAAAAACAACTTCACGTAAAATTTACAAATCTGCCCTTGATTAAGGCCTATGTGTGCCAGACTATTACAACACAACTTTTTCAATATGGAAAATGATGAAATATGAATGCCTGACTCTGACTCATAGCCATATTGGCAAACGCACAGTGTATTGTCGCACTCTGTTTCAGCGTCAAGCCAGTATTTCTCAACCATGGAATGATGATAACTCCAGGGTCTGTCTGAACAGGAAGAGACGTACTAAGATAATGCAAGTCTTCATAGCAGACTTCATACTTCAGAACTCTTCAGATGAAGCCTGACACTCCTCCCTTGGCGTTGCCATCGAAAGTCCTCGACAAGGAAATGACAAAGGAAGTGTGCACAAGTCCAGACTCTTTCCGTTTCACACTGGAATAGATGGTCCTACGAAATACACCCTAATCTGACCCATCAACACAGAGGAGAAAGTTTTGCCTCCACTGTAAACCTCCAGGACAAACACGCATCAGATAATGACACACAGACCCCAAAACCTTGTTTCTATTCAACATTTAAATCCCAAATCATTTAAGATAAGCAAGAAGCGCCCTGTTCCGTTTTAAACAAAACACACTGTAACCTTCAAATACAACCAAGGTTGAAAGACACTGCTGAACATGAATGAGGCAACCACACACACAGAATAATAAAAAAATTAAAAAAAAATTTTAGCTACTCTAGCACAACTTTAAAATAGTGCATTATTACTGTTTGACTGTTTTATTCTGCTATGGAGTCATCTGTCCTGACAAAACAGAAGAAAGCTTTGGGTGTGGCAGGAGAAGGGGGATGGGCTCCAAATGCTCCGCTGATGAAAAATCTGCTCATAAATATGTTTGAAAGATAGCTTAAATCAGATAAGCTGCAAAACAGCTTTTTGGTTGTCAACACTCCATACACATCTCCAAACTATCAGCACTGATCTTTTCGCCCCTCTTACTCCATTTGATCTATTCCTTTCATTCTCTTATTCTGTTACATAACAAACTTTCAGTCATCCTACTGCAAAACCGCTCCATAACTAAAGTCATGCCGCAAGTCTGGCGTGAATAAAACACCTCATTCTTTCTCCTCCATAGCAAGCCTTACTTTTCCCCTTCTGTGCTTCAAACCTGGTTTCAATTAGTATGTCTTTCCAAACCACTACATTCCATTACCCCCTCCTCCCTCCACCCCTCTTACTCACTACCCACACCCTGGCCAGGGCTCCAGGTTAAGAAAATCAGGGCAAAATGTGACAGGATTTGCAAATTAAATGAAAGCATTCACATTTTTCTAAGGATAACAAGAATGTAAAAAAATAATATTATTAAAAAAAAGAGCAAAGTATGAGAAAACGATTCAACCACAGTGCAGAATATGTGCTGACCTTGTCCAAAAACCTTGAGCTATGACCAGATTTGGTACGGCAGGATAATGGTCCATTTCAAGAGGAAATTTAAAAATCTATGGACGTGTGGCACTAGTTTAAGTCACTGTATATACAATTTACTACTAAATAATACTAATATGAGTCGTACTAACTATTCGTTTTAACTTGGGTGTATCTTTTGCATGACATGCAAAACCCCAGAAAATTTGCCTTAATTGTGAATCCTGTTTTAGCAGGTTTGATTTCGCAGGTCAAGTGCTGAATTCTGAACAATGGCAAACTTTAATATTGTTGAGGGGGAAAAGTGCGCACCAGATGGCAATTACTGAGCACACACACAATTTCAAGAGGAAATTTAAAAATCTATGGACGTGTGGCACTAGTTTAAGTCACTGTATATACAATTTACTACTAAATAATACTAATATGAGTCGTACTAACTATTCGTTTTAACTTGGGTGTATCTTTTGCATGACATGCAAAACCCCAGAAAATTTGCCTTAATTGTGAATCCTGTTTTAGCAGGTTTGATTTCGCAGGTCAAGTGCTGAATTCTGAACAATGGCAAACTTTAATATTGTTGAGGGGGAAAAGTGCGCACCAGATGGCAATTACTGAGCACACGCACACACACACACACACCCTCTTTGTGTTCAACAATACCTCACGTTTGTGAGATTGTGTGAGACACCGCAAAGTTTCTTAGAACCAAATAAGCAAAAATACAACGCTGTTTCACATAAGCACATAATAAGATCAGAAACAGTCCCTGGAAAAGTAACGTTACTTCATGCAGCGTGAGCGTCGCACGCCAGAACTGCAAAACTAATTCACCTCAAGAGACACAAACTTACCTGGAAAGGTCAACACCTTTGCTCTGGCATCTTCCGCGGTCCACAGCTTTCTGCCACAGCCCAGAAAAGTTTTCCCTCACGTCTTCTTAACTAAACTTGAACGTATTTGTGTACTCTCTCGTTCTTTCTCGAGGCACGAAGCCTCACTGTATATTTGTTCTGCTGGTATTAGTTACTTTGTCACTTGCTCTCTCTGTCTCTCACATACACTCGTGCTGGGGTTTCTCAGTGTGCTTGGAACTCCGGGCTATGGAGAATGGCAGAGTTTGGGCTAGAGCTGTGGAGTTCTTCACTGGAGAAGAGGGCGGGGTTACGGTGGAGCAGGGCGTGGCCCTTTATTATTTTAGTTCAGCCCATCCACTGTTTGAGTGGCATGTATGTTCAACAGCGATCAAGCACGTGAATGTGTATTGGAAACAGAGTTTAGCTAAAAGGTTGAACTGTATTCCTAGGTCAAGAGTCATTTTAATTATCAGGTTGGTGCAAGTTGGCACATCTTTATTGAGGCAATTTGTTAAGTGTTTTGAACCTATAAAGCTTTTTTCTGCTTTATGGTGGAAATAGCTTTTGTCATGAAATAGTAAGGATTTTAAGGTATGCACCTGTACAGAAATTGACTTTCAAAATAAATGTGGAGTAGAAAGTGACATCTAGCCAAGAAGTGCCTTACAAACTATTGCCTAGAACAGTGGTTCTCAACTGGCGGGGCGCGGGATAACTTAAACATTTATGATTAATATGTTAAATAAATAATAATAAGAATAATACAGCACCACTTCATTAAAGTATATTCAATGCACTCATTTTATGATTAATATGTTAAAAATAAAAATGATAGCACCACTTCATTTAAGTATATTCAAGTCACTCATTTTATGATTAATGGTAAAGAAGTAACAAAAAATTACAGTACCACTTCACGTATTCTGTGATATTCTGTGTTGAAGCAGCTCAAGCCGTTTCTCATAGCTGTGTAGCCTAGTGAACCAAACTGAGAGACCATTTTGATGGCTCAGGAAAACTTTGCAGGTGTTTTGAGTTTATTAGCTGATTGGCATGTCACCATATTCTAATTTGTTGAGATAGTGAATTGGTGGGTTTTTGTTAAATGTGAGCCAAAATCATTACAATTAAAAGAACCAAAGAATTAAACTACTTCAGTCTGTGTGCATTGAATGTATTTAATACACGAGTTTCACAATTTGAGTTGAATTACTGAAATAAATTAACTTTTCCAAGACATTCTAATTTATTGAGATGTACCTGTATAACGGATGCTCACCGAAGAAGCGTGTTTTGGAGACGTTTGTGAGGACCAGTGTGGTGTTTCTGTGCATATGGGCATCAGACGCTCCAAACACAGGCACGCTTGTTCTGACTGAGAGAATTGTTCAATAATGACCTCGAGCCACCTTTAGATCGCTGAGTTTCCACACAATCAGAATGTTTACATTTTTCATTTGTATTTTGGTGTGTTTAGCGATTCCAAATGGATCTGTATAGTAGTTTAAATGCAACTGGCATCTCCCTGTGGTCTTTGGTATAACAGGTTGACCTGTGCTTATTTCTTAGTTACTGTATAATTGAGATTTACGTACTTTTAAGCTGTAAAGAATATCTGCTGTGACTTTTTTTGTTTGTTTTTTTGCTATGTTTGCAAAATAAACACTGAATGCTTAAATCTATCTTGATTTTGTTTTGTTTAAAAATAATTACATGGAATTGAAAAGTAATAACAAAAGGTTTTTTATATTATACAAAGGGGGGGCTTGCAGTATTGATTCGGAGAGGAGGGTGGCCTTGGAGTAAAACCCAGGTAGCAAATGTACGTCTGCAAGATGTCTGTTAAAGATGGCTTCATCTGGAAAGCATCTGCTGTGTACAAACATCTGATAGGCGTCTTTAAAGGAACACTCTACTATTTTTGAAAATAGGCTCATTTTCCAACTCCCCTAGAGTTAAACAGTTTAGTTTTACCGTTTTCGAATCCATTCAGCCGATTTCCGGGCCTGGTGGTAGCACTTTTAGCTGTAGCTTAGCATAGATCATTGAATCTGATTAGACCGTTAGCATCTCGCTCAAAAATGACCAAAGAGTTTCTACATTTTTCCTATTTAAAACTAGACCCCGGAGATCGGCTGAATGGATTCGAAAACGGTAAAACTCAACTGTTTAACTCTAGGGGAGTTTTAAATAGGAAAAATGTAGAAACTCTTCGGTCATTTTTGAGCGAGATGCTAACAGTCTAATCAGATTCAATGATCTATGCTAAGCTACAGATAAAAGTGCTACCGCCAGACCCGGAGATCGGCTGAATGGATTCGAAAACGGTAAACTCAACTGTTTTCAAAAATAGTGGAGTGTTCCTTTAAGATGTCAGCTTTACATACATTCTAAATCATGAACATCTTCCAGACGTCTATTTGACATCTGATAGGAAACGTCTTATAGACGTATTGCAGATGAGCAAACACTCTAAAAAATTATGTCTTGGAGATGTAAATGCAGACGTCAAATAAACGTCTCTGTGATGTACGTGTGCTATCAGGGAAAAGGTTGAGAGCCACTGGCCTAGAGTAAAGTGTCACATGGTTAGGTGGCACATGATTGTAATCTATTAGTAAGGGGGGGAACTAGTTTTCATTGTATCTTTGACTGTTGATGCTAGTCTGATTTTACGGTGCTGACTTGTAAGCCCAATCCACCTTAGTTTTAATGAAAGATTAGGTGCGGCCATTTGTGTTTATAATGTGCAAGGCATCCGGTTATTTTACCTGTGCAAAACAGTTTGTTATGCTGCTTGATGTTGCAAACTGTTATCATATTATTTAATTCATTATCACAAGCATAAACACACTGGTTTGTCATGCAAATCTTTTACCGTTTATACTGTAGGCCTAATTTTTATTCTACTAGTTACCTTTGTAGGCAAATGAATCAAAAGTCTCACACATTCACAGAAATTTGGTTACTACCCATGTGACAAAATAAGGTGGATAGATACAGCAAAAATACGATGATATTGGAACTTTACTTTGCAGAACAGAATTCATGACAATAGAGGCCTTTGAACTAGATGTTCAAACTAAATGCAAACCCCTTCTAAAGAAAAAAACACATTTGTGTAATTTGACTGTAAATCTTACAGTTGCTGAGATATCGCTCTTGTGACAACCCCATGTGACAACTAGCCTTTGCATCACATTCTGTTTTGAGTTCAATGTGCTCCCACAATGTCCTGTGTATGCATACTGAGTTGTCATATGTTTTATAGTGTCTTGTGCTTACTGTCATGTGTGCGCTGTTTATATACTTTTATGCTTTATAATTGTCACAAAATGTCATTTTGCACATCTGCAATTTACTTATGTATTTACTTATGTAAATGCAAGACAATAACCTGCTGGAGAGCAGTTCTGCCATGTACATGCATACTTCAGTACTTCTGATAAAAAAAGTTTGAATTCGTGTATGTAAAGGGATTTGTTTATGAGACTTATTTTGTTAAGCTTATTTTAGAAGTTTTCTCTTTTTTAATGACAAATATTTATTGACATTTGAAGTGCTTCTTGTCTTTGACAATGTGTTCATTGTGTCTGTTAGCATGGATATAGTGCTCTCTTTGAGCTAGTCCAACATTATTTCCATACCATTTTCATAATAGAAAATCCAGTGTAAATCTCTGAGGAGGGTTTCTCATTTTGTGACCATTGGATTGATGAAACATTAATGCAGTTAAATTATTAGATGAGGCTTTTTTTCGTTGAATAAGTAAGAATAACTAGTAAAAGGTTAAGTGTTGAGTATTTTAAACTGAAACCATTTACATGCTTAGTTTTATAAATGTAAAATGACCGTTAAAGGCATAGATGTTACTCACAATTTAAATAATATGAGATCAAATGTTTAAAGTTTAACCGTCTTCAATTGGCCATAGATGTTTTCAGTAATTTTAGAAATACTTTTCAGACAAATTAGCTTTTTCAAATAAATGCATGTTCTAGAATTATAAAATATTTGTTCTTTGTAATATCTGTTCAAAAAAGATTATTGCAATTTTTTAATATATATTATTTCATTATTATTTTATTTATTTATTTATATATTCATTTAATTAGCTAAATGATTTTTGTGCATGTCTCTTGCTAAAAAGGTAACACGTTACAAAAAAAAACTTTTGTTAATTTATTTATTTTTAAACTATTTACTTCTATATTCATTTATTTAGCGAAATTATTTTTGTGCATGTCTCTTGCTAAAAAGGTAACACGTTACAAAAAAAAACTTTTGTTAATTTATTTATTTTTAAACTATTTACTTCTATATTCATTTATTTAGCGAAATTATTTTTGTGCATGTCTCTTGCTAAAAAGGTAACACGTTACAAAAAAAAACTTTTGTTAATTTATTATTTATTTAATTTTAAACAAGGTACAGAGACAACTAATTCAAACAGATCACACAGTTCCCCCTTTTCTAATTTACTAATTTCTACTAATTGTTTATTCAGTTTGCTATTTGGAAGAGGAATTGAAACCAACAAACAAGGCCTAAATGACAATAGAACACTGGTATGCCAAAATACAAACCGTATTTTTTTTCTACAACGTGATGTAGTCATGAGTCAGAACCCTGATGTCAAGAAAGCTAGAATAATGTCAAAAGAATTTGTTACAATAATGCGGAGCTTCATCTGTTTAACTCAGAAATATTAGAGTTGAAATTAATGAGCCTAATTAACTCAAATAATAAAGACTGAACATTATAAACCTAGTATTCAATTAAATGAGGCTAAATGGCGAGTAATGTGCCATTCAGAGCACAAAACTTTGAAGATGGATTCCCTCTATCTAGCTAAAAGAAGCCTGTTTGCAATATGCAATACTGCAAAAAGATGATATGTGATGCCATTGCAAAAATGTGTTCATCTATTATGTAAATATTTAAAATACAAAACATCTACCCTTCTGTGATGAATCAACTTCTAAATCAAGAAATGTCAAGTTAGCTGCACACCCATACAGCAAAATATAGATATCTTCAAATATATTTATACATATTTCCAAACAATACAAACGATATGTATTTGCTAAATATATTTCAAAATATATTTACGCAAATGCATTTAACCAATATATTTTTTGCATGTTTGAAAATGAATTTTAAAAATATAAATATAATATTAAATGCATTTTTAAATATATTTTTGTCCTCTGCATATTTTAATCCAAGAAAATACAGTCACGTATGTCACATTTGAAGAAACCCT